TTCATCGAATGTACTTTCGAGGCTGAAGAGTGCGACCCACAAGTAAGGCATTCGTATTTGAAAAGTACTGTCAAACTTTGGGTAGAAATTAAGCATTTGCTGAGATGTTACTAAATCTTTCTGTTGAATTTAAAAGTCGTGATCCTGCAAAACATTTTTTCTAATGAAGTTTGTCCGACTGTATGGTGCGAATAATTTTTGGCTTTTATTTTTAGGTTGTAATCCGAAATGTTCGGCAATTTTTGAATGGTTTAAAAAATTATCTGGTGAAACACGGCGAGGGCGAGCTACATGATCTAATCGAGAAAGAACGCTCGAGGCTCAATGCGAATGAATTCCTGAACATCGACGCCATCTTGGAAGCGGTCCTCCACAAAATAGTGCTTTGTGAGTTCTCTTCGCATTACATCTATCTGAAAAATGCCTTTGTTGTCATTGCTTAATTTTCTCTTTCGGTTTCGTTAATAATTTTTGCTCTCCTTGCTTGTGCACGAGACTAATTGGCTGAACTAAAACTCTCTTTTTTTTTGCTTTTTTTAAAGTCCGGTCAACTTTCCGTCTTAGGGCAAATTCCGCCTTGTTCATTCATGCTTATTTTTTTCTGCACGAAACGTAGTAGTTTAATTAGCATTCGCCTATTTCTTATTCCGGAGACAAGTCTGCCACAACGGAAAACTGTCTCCCAGATTTTTTCAAAAGTGCATTTTGACCGTCTGTTTTTTCCCCAGTGTTCTTTGAGGAACTCATGAAAATTTTTCCTGTGCTGACAATGAAAATGTTGTCTACAATGACAAAATTCAGGTCCCGTAAAGCCGCATCTCTATCATTTGATGGTACGCGAACATTCCAGAAACGGTTGGTTACAGGCGCTTTCTGAAAATCTCATGTACGTTCGGACATTGTCGCCGGAACAGCTAGGCTTCGGTGTGCGTTGTAAGGCATGTTGCTTATCTTCTTTGTTTGATTTTAAAAAATGGCATTACCAGTTTATTGCTTATTAGTCGCTCTCATCTGAACTTTCTTA